TTTCCATTTTTTGTATAGATAGAGTGGGAGGGAGAGAGAGGAAGAGAGAGAGAGAGAGAGAGAGAGAGAGAGAGAGAGACATCGACATGAAAGGGACACATCGAGAGTCTGCCACCTGCACAACCAAGTACGCGCCCTTAGCGGGAATCGAACCCGGGTCTCTCCGGACTGCAGGCCGATGCTCTAACCGCTGAGCCAAACCGGCCAGGGCAAAGCTGTTTTTATTTGATTAGCCTCATTTGTTTGGATATAAAATGTCAATTGCAATATCTACTTCATAGTTTATGTTGTTTATGTTGACATAAACAATGATGACTAGTTTTTAACTAACATTTTTTAGTGTTGATTATGTGCCAGTCTCTGTGCTAAAGCACCTTATACATGCAGGGGTAGGAAAAAGTAGTTTTATAGGTGTAAGTACATGAAACAGTTTATTCTTGCAGTAGGGTTTATTTATTAATTATTGGATTATTTATTATTATTAACTTACTTTTTTCCCATCCCTGTGTATATTTAGGATTATATGAGTTAATAGATGTTAAAATGCCTTGTAGCATGCCTAGCATAAGGTAGGCACTAAGTTGCTGTTTGTTTTCAAGTATCACAAATAAATAAAAATATAAATAAGGCTAAACAAGATAAAGAGTTGTCTTTGGTAAACACATATACTAGTGGTTAGTCCTGTAAATGGATAATGACACGATGAATGAAGTGCTATTAATGTTGATAAACATAAAGATCAGAGAGGGCACAGAAGAGGTAATAACCAGACAATGGTCCTCCAATGTATACTTCTGTCTTCCCTTCTTCTGCCTTCTCTTGTTCCTCATCTCCTCCTGTTGCCCAACCAATAGCTCACAAATGTCCTGTTATGAATGGATGCAACTTTTTTTGTGGAAGATGAAGGAACATTCCATTTCCATTCCTCTTCTTACTAATAGCTAGCTCTCGTTCCAAAGGTGCCATAAATTGACATAAGCAAGATCATGGCTTAGCTCTTTTTGTCTTTTTAAAGTTTGGTACTATATTGCTCTGTACTATATTGTGGGTGAAAGCTATACCAAGAGATTGTGTGTTTGATCTGAAAGAAAGAGTCCCTGGTGGACTATGGTATATAGAAGTTCTCTTTCAATGAATGAAATGACCATCTACCTACCGTCAATGCCATAAAGAAACTTGTCAGCAAATGAAAAGAAAACAAAGTAAACAAAATAATAAGAAGAAAACAAAAACTGATGAGCCTATGTTTACCTCAGTGATGCTCCACTTGTCACTCTAGTGTTAAAAACTTTTTTGGGGACATCTTATACAGTGTTTCTGCTACCTACCTACATGTTTAGAGAAAGCCCGATAAACACAGCTGTTCATCACAGCAGTACTCCTTACATTACGTAAGATGAATAAAGATTAGAAAGATTCCAACACTTATTTGACACCTAAAATGTCCTACTCATTTACATGTGATTTCATATATCACCTTTTATTTTCTCAACTACCCTTAAAATTTTTGTGTGTGAGCCAATAAGTGAGACAATTTATATTCGCAGTACTCGGTTCTTTCCTTTCCTTGTCATCCATCATTTTATTCTCGAGGGGGAAAAACATTTATGTGAGATTTGCCCTAGGCACAGTTGACTTTCTCTGCCTTGATGGGATCAGACAAAGCAGCGCATTCTAACTGTTTGTTTGTTTACTTGTTTGTTTGCTCCATTAACTCTCTGTAGATCATACTAGTTGCCAGCTTTCTGTTCTCATGTTCTTCACTCCTTCACTGATATCACCTCAGGCAGAATTTTCAGTGTAACTCGGATATCTTTCTAGAAGTATAGTTTTCAAACTTTAGCAGAAGTATCATTTTTAGCATACAAAAGTATTACCTGGGGAGCTTGTTAAAAATTCAGGTTTCTGGAAGTCATCCCCAGAGATTCTGGTTCATTTGATATGGGGTAGAATCCTGGAATCTAAAAATTTTAGCAAACACCGACAGCCACTCTATGAAGGAGGTGCTTAGTCCTGGGAGAAACGTGATTCTAGGCTCTGGGAATCCTGTCCTCCACTTCATTATCACTTCTGACTAATTGGATATCTGTAGCTTCCTTAACAGCTTTAGCACCAGGCTACCGATCTTCCTCTCCACAAAATGCCCTACCATTATTCTCAGGGAATTTGACATCCATTCTGATGAGCCTTCTAATACTCTAGTCTGAAAATTTGTTCATCCCTTCTGATCACATACTCTTTAAATTTTACATATCAGAGTTTTGCATCATCTTGAAGTGTTCTAACATTTTACATTTTTACTTCTGCAAAACACCCTCTTCATATAAAAACATTGTATCCTAACTTTCTCAACTTCTAACATTCAATAAACTATGTGTTACTCCCACTCAATAATAAAGTCTTCAGTCTTTCAAACTTCCCTAGTTATCCAATAAATCATTGTAACAGAAACCTCTAACTATTCAATGCCTACAGTGTGTTAGGCCCTGCACACAGCATTTAACTGACAACATGTTGCAGATATCCTGTGAGTTTATTAACCTCATTTTACAAATGCAAATAAGGCTCAGGAGATTAAGTTAAAAAATCCAAGGATGCGTAGTTTGTTTGTAGAAGAAACTAGATTTAAAACTATTTATATGGCTGCAAAACCCTTACCCTGGCCCTGGCCGGTTTGGCTCAGTGGTTAGAGCGTCGGCCTGTAGTCCAGAGAGACCTGGGTTTGGTTCCCACTAAGGGCATGTACTTCGGTTATGGTTTGTCCCCGGCCCTGGGTGGGTCGTGTGGTGACAGCCACTCAATGTGTCCTTTTCATATCGATGTTTTTCTCTCTCTCTTCCTCCTGCTCTGTCTGAATAAAAAATGGAAAAATGTCCTCGGGTGAGGATTAAAAACAAAAACAAAAACAAAAAACCCTTACCCTGACTGGTATAGTTTTCCTACTCAACTCACATGAAATGGTGAAAACATTAGTTTTTCTTGCCTCTTCTTCACTTTCCATGGTACACATCCATTCTTGCCTATATATCTTTTCTTAAGTGTACCTTTTATCTGGAATGCTTTTCAAAACTGATGAATAAATCAAGCCCACTCATATGTTTTTATATTTGAAAACCATCGTGTTTTTCTTCTACTTAGCACTTGTCATAGACTGCCTTCTGTGAATTATTTATATACATGTTTACCCTCAACCCAGATTTTGAGGTTCTGGAGCAAGAAGCAGGTGTTACAGTAAGAAAAGCTCTCTCTCTGGAGTTAGGACAACCTGGTTAGAAATCACAGTTTCAATACTTACTGACTAGATGATCTTAACAAAACACAACCTCTCTAGTCCTTATTTTATTATCCACCAGAAATATTATCTTCCGCTCATGGTCATGGTGAGGATTAAATAATGTCTTGTATTTGATGTATCTAGAATAGCACCTTAAATGTAGCTGTCACAATAAATTCTGAACTATAATCTCCCTGCTGCTGATTCTGGCCTCTCATCCCCTGTGCTAATCAGCAAAATGGAGGTCACATTTATCACATGTAGTGAAAATGTAGGAAAATTCAGCTATAGCAGGAGCTGTAGAAACAGCTGCTTGTTATTGATGTGGTGTGAGAAAGAAAGTTACATCTCAAGCCCATTGCTTAATCCTTAAAAGGACATTTTTTAAAAAAAATTAGACTTGATTTATTTGCACAATATTTTCTTAATTAAAGTAAATAAATACGATTTTGACTTTATAAAATTGGGGGAAATTTCTTTCAATTTAATCACATTTCATTCGGCATATTTATCTGAGTTAATAAGAGCTAGAGGGCTTATGATTAAGTTCTATATTCATATCTCTTTCAAAATAAAATAAATATTTATGTACAAATCTATTATTCTGAACTGCCAGTCACATCTTTACAGGAAATTTAAGTTTCCCCATAACTGAGCATGAGATACTACTTGCAAAAGTCAAGCCAACCCAGGGAATCTCACCACGAGTGTCAATGCTGAGTTAATCATTTTGGGCCAAATAATAGGAGAATCATCTAATTCCCAAACCATAAATTGAATACTTATGAAGCCTTTATGAACCCACTGACAAGTTTCATGTAAACTATATTATACATGGATAATTTTATTTGCCAGTTATGGGAGTTTTGTATGTTTATTATATCTAACATTGCTTTTAAAAAATCTAATGTCATTTGGTCATTGCTTTATACTTGTTTTCCAAGTAAAATAGAGGGTGTTCTTTGTCACGAGTGCATTACATGAATAACATAGCTGTAAGTGAACATGGCTAATTGGCCTGTATGAAACTGCTCCTCAGTTGGGCAGCTAACTTAAACTAACCCCCCCAAAGTGCATCTAGTTTCTCAATGTCAGATTCAATTTCTCCAAAAGGTTGCTTGTGTGTATAAAGGTCTTATCCCCTTTTCTGAACATTTTATGTGTTCCAAGGTTGTGGCACTATGCCAGATTATTTTTCTTTTATTATCATAGAACAAAACCCATTGCAAGCCTGAAGCCAATATAACTCATTGTTATATGATTTTTCAGGGGCAGAATAATACTCAATTCCATTAAAGGACATCCTTTCAATGTCAAGAGTCCAGAGGGTTTGTTAAAATTAGACCTAGTCTAGCAGTCCAAAGAAAATAATGTGGCTGATATTCTACCACCATTTGGGGAAAAAAGTCTTGTTGCTTGTCGCTGGCATGGCTTACAAGAACGATCCAATTCCAGAGAAGATTATTTGCATTAGCAACAGTGTTCAAAGGCTAGTCCTTAGGTTCCTCTCTTTTTAAACTTTAGTAATAGGAGTATGGAAGCCATATTTTAAGGATATAATCTGTTTACATTTTCTGGGATATATATACGGTCAAGAGGGGATACCTTGACATTCTAAGACTTAGAATGTGACTGGATAAGGTTGTGTTTTTAAATAAATAGAGATATATCTAATAAGAAAGAAAGAAAGAAAGAAGACACTTATACAAAGAAATTATAACTTTACCCAAATATGTGCCTTAATTCTGTAAGTTCTTTTTCTTTGATCTGCAAGTCATCTTCTAATCTTTCTATTATAATAACATAAGATTCACTGACCTTCTTCTTCCATTCATCTAGAAAAAAACAGAAAAATTCATAGTTGTATTTTGCAAAATGTAAACACAGATCATAACATAAAAGTAATTAAAACCCTGTTTTTTATTCTGAATTCTACAATAATTAATTTAAATTACTGACTGTGAGTTTAAAATGCAGATGTTTATATTTAAAAGGCAATCTTATTGAATTGTAGTGATTAAGAACCCATTGGATATTAGATAACATATTTACATAAAAGAATATATTTGACTTATTTCATTTGATTTAATTGCATTTTAATTATAGCAATCTCCAGTTTCTTGAAAAGAGATTTTAGGTTTTAAATACTAAATACTTAAGATATAATTCTAAAATCCCTATATTCAGCAGTATTACAATTTTTTTCAATAACATCATACCCTGGAGCTAATCATACATTTTTGTAAGAAATCTGTTTTCTCTAAAGATTTTTCAAAAAATTTAATTTGAATTCAGATAATCTTCACAACACTTTTTGTATAATACATTGTTCATCGTCTGTATAAAAATGAACAGATATTCCAAGAAAATGTTAATTATCTATAACTATTATTGAACCATGTTACATTTAAGGATATAAAATATTTACCAGTGCAAGTTTGGGTTGGTCTAGATTTATAATTTCCCATTTGTTAGATGTTGCTTCTTTTCCCCAGCGCAGTTCCTCACGTTACAAGATTCCAAGTTCAAGTGCAGTGACATTCCTGTAGAAAATACTTTGATAGTCTGTCTAAAAATAATCAGACTGCCCAATGGAATGTCATGCAACGATGACAAAGAACAAAATAGTGTGTACTGTCAAGGGTAAAATCATAAAGGAAACTAATCAGTCTGTTTAAAAGTGCTGTATCAAAAATAAACAGTAAATGTTTCAATAGGATTATTTGCCTCCATCAGCTGATTACCTACCCATATATACCTTTATGAGTTATTTATTTAATAGGTATATCTAGAAAGTGATTCTGTTACATATGAGGTCTACAAAGAGCTATTTAAACTACCTAAGATCTTTCACAATCATTTTCTTAGGAGCCAAAGTCATGGCAGTTGGAAAAGAGTGGCTGGTAGTAGAATTTACCTCTGTATATAAATAATAAAGACCTGTTTCCTATGGTATGTCACTAATAGAAATGATTACAAGTTTTGCCTATACTAGAGCTATAAAATTATGTTTATAAGAAGAAATTTTCAACGTAAACCATGATTTATTTATACTATTTATTCTTTATGCTGACCTTAAGAATCATAGAAAAGAATCTAAGACACTGACTTCTACAAATAGCTTTTCATAAAATAATAATGATAAGAACAATAAGAAGATTGCAAGTAATGAGACTGAATGCTTGCGGTATAGCAGAGACTCATACAATCCTGCCAGGTAAATATTACTCCCAAATTACGGGTGAGAAAATTCAGATTTGCTAGTAGGTGGTGGAAACTGGATTGATTTCTGATCTTTATGATTTTAAAACCCAAGTTAGATATTGTTATTGATACATATTCCATAATTTCTCTTTCATTCACTTTCCATTTACTTCACGAGGGCATTTGTCTTTGTATATGCATAATTCTATTGATATAAATGAACTCAGGGTACAATGCAGATAGAATGAAAACTCAGAAAGAAAAGATGTCTGGTTGTTAACTACATATTTCTTTATTATAAAATAATTATAGCTAGAAAGTATACATTTTAATCTTGAAATTCACCTCCAGAGGCTATAGTTTGAATGTAACAGGTATAGATTTCATAGTTATCATAATTAAAAGTTCAAATAACTGTTTCTTTTTAAAAGCAAATGCTTCAATAAATTTTATTTTCCACATCTTTTTCTCAGCAAAAATCATTTAAGTTTCAGAGGTATGGCTTCCATCAGCTATAGTTGGAGAAGCAGGTATCTGACTTCATGGACATCTCTGTCCTCCCCTAGATATAACTCTCCGTATCTTTCCTCGTTGGTATATGCTGCCATGGCTGTTGATGGCTGCTCTGTCTTGGGGGTCTCTGTTTACTTGGTCCAGGCATTCTGTTTTCTAGTATGAAGGCCAGACATCTTCCTTTGCACCAGCTTTCTTTCAGAGCTTGTGTGACACTCCTGCCTCCCACCTCCTCAGGTCAGAAAGTCTTTGCTTTCCCCAGAAATGCTGCCCTCAGGACCACTGAATTCAGCACCTGGCTTCCTCAATGCTTCCTTGTCCTGAAGATCATACTAGAATGAATGTTCTTCTCAAGGCTTGCAAGCTCCCAAGGCTGTCTTGGAAAGTAATTTACAAGCTCTCTCTTCTCTCAGATTTCCTTAGAAATTATCCATAGTTTTTGTATCAGGAGTCCAGAGGGACAGGGATAAAAGGCAGGGCTCTCGGCCTTCTGGGGAACATCTAAATTTACGTATTTTTCCTGATTTCCTTTCTTATTTCTCTCTCCACCATCTCAGATTTTCTACCACCTTATTGTGTGGATATGTGTGTGTGCCACACCTATCAAAGAAGAAAAAGTTAGCTCATATTTTGCATTATCTTTTCTGATTTCGTGTTTGGGACGTAACATAAAAATGGATTCACAGATTTTTAAGATTTTTTTTTTTTTGAATTTTCAGAAATCTTTTTGTTTTCCCTAAAACATTAATTCTTACAAATGAAAGCTTTCCTTTTCAAAGCTACTTATGTCTACTTTGAGTTGGAAAATCCAATCAGCATCTTAATTGAATCTTCCCACACCCAGAGGAAATAAATTTCACTCAAAAAAAAAAAAAAAAGGGAGAATAGCAACATAAATTCAGGAAATGATAATGTTAATATCTCAAATATTAAACATCATTGAGCTATATAATAATTTCCTAGTTCTAAAGGCACAATGTCTATACGTCCATTTGAAGAATGTGGAGTAATTCTCCTGAGTGCCTTGAGTGAGGTGAAACAAAGGTGGAATAAGCAAATGATCCAGGATAACAATCTGCTTTTCTTTCTAAAGAATGCTGGAGAGAGAGCCCTGGCTGATTTGGCTCAGTGGTTAGAGCATTGGCCTCTAGACCAATGAATCGCAGGTTCAATTCCAGTCAAGGGCACGTACCTTGGTTGCGGTTTGTCCCTAGCCCTGGTCGGGGTTGTACTGGAGGACACCAGTCAATGTGTCTCTCTGACATCGATGTCACTCTCTCTTCCCCCTCCCTGACTCTGTCTGAAGATAAATGGAAAAATATCCTTGGGTGAAGATAAAAAAATGAATGCTGAAGAGAATCTCTTATCAGGTAAGTTGAGGTATCCCTTCCCCACTCTGAGCTCTGGAGGGTGGAGTCCTTACGATATCTCGAGAAAAAGAATTTTCTGAGACTGGCACAGAAGGATGAGTGATTTCTACTTGTGTGGAATTACATCCCTGGGTTTCCAATGTCCCATTTCCCTTAGTCCAGTTATAGAAAAAGTGTAGCTGGGGATTCAGTAGAGCTAAAAGCAAAGCCAGTGGCTAGAGTCTCCATTCCATGTTGCAGCCAGGTCCGGGTCAGCATCAGGCTAGTTGCAGTCCATTAGTCTATTATGTGTGGGGTCCGCATGGGCTGTGAGCCATGTAGGCGAATGAAGGGAGCAGGAGAGAGAGCGCCCCACTAACCAGGAGTCAAATGCAAGACACCAAGGGCCAAAAGCACAAGAGAAACTGAGAGAGTGAACTCTTTTGTTTAGGGAATTAAATATATCAAGTTTCTTGCCCTTGCAGTGGCCATGCCCATTCTGGCCAATGACCTGTTCCCAGGTGTGACGTATAGCAATTGCCTTTAGTAGTCATGCCGATTTTGCCGGGCATGTGTCTATTTTCCCTCTGCCCAGTCTCCTGGAGAATGTAAAGCTGTAGCTACCTGGCAAAGTTGCCCAAATGACATGCCGAAAACTTTTGGCCTTTCCTTTGCTCCTTTCCTGTTAATTAACTAGGTTAATTACAGGGTATCAAATCCTTATGAAAGTAGAAACTATTTTCCACACTACTAAGTACATTTCTGTAAAAATTATTCTTCTCTACCTTAGGTTGGCCATATGCTCCAAACTGAATTCTACTCATCCCAGATCTGAGACTTCCAGACATATAGAAGACATGTTAAGTCATATATTATAAAAAGAAAAAAAAAAAACCTAATTATAAAAGTGTTCATCTTCTCACTTAGTAAAAGCGGATGTAACCTAATGACACTTTGTAAACAAACAGAAACGTGGGCTCCATTCTCAGAAATTCTGGGCACAGGAATCTGAATTTTAAGAGACACCCCTAGTGATTCTAATATAGATGCTACTTGGGACATACTTTGAGGGGCACTATTTTAAAGTCGCTTAAAGTAAGATGCCTACATGAATTCCATCTAGAGAAAAGAGAACTGGAGTAAAGAGGAAAAGAAGATTGTTTCAGATTTTCAAAGAGCTCTGTCTTGTGTTCCCATTGGGGAATAGATGATGTGACTGTGCATGTTAAAAGTGATTCACAAAAAATGGAAGCAATACAGATGCCCTTTCATAGGAGAATGGATCAACAAATAAATCATATGCATATCCATACAGTAGAATATTATTCAGTAGTAAATGAAATGAGTTACCAAAGCAAGAAAAGCCAGGAAAGAACCTTCAATGAATAATGCTAAGTGAAATAAGCCCATCAGATGAGGCTACATATTACATAATATACATCACATGACATTTTGGAAAAAGCAAAATTATAGACTCAGTAAAAAGGTCATTGGTTTCCAGGAGAAGGGAAGGGATGAATAGTAATCTTTAGGCTAGTGAAATTATTTTGTAAGATACTCTAATGGCAGATACATGACATTATGTATTTGGAAAAACTCATAGAACTGTGAAACACAAAGATGTTAGTTAGTAATAATGTTTCAATATTGGTTCATCAAGTACAAAACCCATATAAGTTGTTACTAATAGGAGAAATTGTGGCAGGGTGAGTAGGGGAGAGGGAAGGAAGGAGTATACAGGTACTGTCTGTACTTTCTGCTCAACTCTTCTGTAAATCTAAAACTGTTTTAACAAAAAAAAGAGTCTATAATGTTTAAAAATTAAGAAAAAATTAAAAAAAATAAATATGAGCAAATATTAGACAATTTGAGTTTTTCAAAGAAAAGAATATTTATAACATAAGAAAAAGCCATCTCTAAGGAGTCAAACTAATACTAAGCATTTTTGTCCTTTTACATTTGCTTTTTTTTTTTTTTTTTCCATTTAGAATGTCAGGATAAATTTAGTAAATACCTTATTTCTTCAACTATTCATTTTTGATCAACTTTTGTGTGATATTGAATTGTCTAAATTTAACATTAATGCCTTCACTTTTGCAACTGATTTATTAGACTACTTCAGCACATATATAGACATATTCCAATATTCCTTCAATAAGCCTATTTACATTCTTTCTAAATTCCTTTATTTTGGGTTCGTATGAGTTATTTATCCCAATCTACAGTTGTACATCTGCTATTTATATTTTATACTACACTCTTCATAAATATTTAAAAGGATGCTTTCAAGATGAAAAAGATAAAAATTGACCTTGACATTTCTTCCACTTTTATGATTCCAACATAGAAATTATAAAGACATATGTCCCATGAAATATGACTGATGCACTTGGAACAATTCTTATCACATTTAGGAGCATGAGTCCATTTACACTTAAAACTTAGAGC